TCATTTTTCTAACGATTGCTGGTTTCTAATTGCTTTGGTTCTGGTGAGTGTGTATCTAGTGTGATTCGAACCCATGTCGTTTGTATTGTGTGTTTTTTTATTTCCCATGTTGGCTACGCCGTAATATGCAACCACTTCCCCGTTTTATTGTGATTTTTAGAGTGTTTAATGATGTCTTCCTCACCCGTCACGCCATGACCCAGTTTCAACCACACGGCCATTTTGCAACACAGTGCGTGACCTCGGCGTCACCCGACTGACTATATGAGCGTTCTGTTCAACTGTTAAGCTAGGATTTATTACCGTTATTATCATTATATTGTCACGTGAATTGTTTTACCTTATGTGTAATGTCTTAAGTATCTTTATTGTAATTTGTATATACCAATTCGTATATACCGAGGAAATGCCGCCGATTGAAGGTCATGTATTTTGTGACGTCACCAATTCGTGTGTAGGTACGATAGATGGAACAGGAAAGAAACTCCTTGAACCAGACTCTCGAGAGTTGCCGATGATGGATGAATAATGTTGCATGTGACTCAGTACGAATTAATTTACTGGCTTCTTTAGGACTTTTTTTTACAGTTGTTTAAGAAAATGGTAAATTCATGCCATATCTGGTTGCCCATGCGCCCATAGCTAAATCGTGCCAATTTTTGTTTTCTATAAAACTAAATTTTTCAACGTGACTACTAAATCTGGCCTTTACAGTCATGCTAACAGTATGAGAACAAATGACTAAAATCATTTATTTTAGTTAATACAAGTTCCGACTTTTCTTGTCTAACCGGCCTTTTGTACACATTAGGAAATGTACACTAGTTGATATATACCGGTAGCAGTTTAATTTGGTGTTACAATTGGCTGTGGTCAGTCATCAGGTTTTCGCATGCAGTGATGCATCATCTCAAATTTTTTATCTTTACTATTTACGTATCAATAGCAGCATTTATGCGAGTACATGTGTGATCGCCGTGCAGTGAATATTTTTTTTTATTGTTGACCGTAGCAAGCTTGATAGCATCCTAAGCACACATGCATCGTGGTTATCACCGTGGCAACGTAATTCACAGTCCTTCCACACCTGGTTAGGGAAGGCTTCAAGTTCCATTGTCACAGTGCGTGTTCGTAAAAGTAGGAGGGGCTATGATATCATGACGATGAAGACATTTTAAAGTGCAATTGTATTACTTTAATAAGTTGTGAATCCTAAAGACGTTTATTGCCAGAACAAACCCTTCAGAATTTTAAATTGGTACGGCTAGAATACTCATGAACGTCCATCCATAGACTACCTAAGTTCAAACCATGTTAGTATGATGTTAGTCATAAAACTTACTAGTATTCTTGGCTCTTTTGATAGCTTTGTCAACTTGAGAACCAGTAGTACGCTTGCGTAAAATACCAAGCTGCCTGAAATTTACAATAATTGTGAATTAATTTACATATAAATCATAGACTGTTTATTTTTCATTAATATTTTTTTTTGGATTCACAGTAACACTACTACTAAGCATACTGCTTATTTTAGCTTCTGTACCCTCAGGGACTGTGACCGGTACTACAGTTTCGCATTACGTAACAACACAAACAACAAAAGCAATGACTAACCTGGCGAGTTCCTTTGTCGACTTCATTCTTCAAGACGTTTGCAGTAAAGTAACACTGATGGTCAAACCTACGCACAGTCGTCCACTGGATGTCCACCCTGGCATTTACCAGAATCACCATATTACAGTGTCACACATAACGCGACAGAAAGCAGAACATAGTAGCCTGGAATCGACAATGCTTATTTTAAATTGTAGCGGCCTCACCAGTCGCATCCGGGTATTTACATGTAAAGGTCAGAGGTGAAAGGTAAAAGCATGGCGCTCGTCAACAGAAGCAGACAACGAGCCTGTGCATAAAGAAGGTATTACATTATTATGACGGACAAAAAGAGTGGACAGCCAGAGTCCTCCGAACGCGATGCTTTAGATCGTGGCGAACATTCCGAGTGCGAAGAAGGAGAGGTGTTTGATTCAACATCAACAACACCAACTCCGACCGACGACCGTGGTGACATGATTGAAGTTGGTGATGTGGATTTCAAAAGTGAAGACATAGAACAGAGTGACTGTGATAATGAGACGAATAATGATCAGGTAGAGTACCGATAAAACGGTTACGTGTTGGGGCTCCCAATTTGTGTATAGGTGACACTAATCTGCAAAATCAAGGACTCGTTGCAGTGTTTAAATTATTAAGATAGCAACATAGAAAAAGAAGATAATAGTTGATCTGTAAATACTTTCTTTGAAAGCTAAAAGTATGTGCTACTTTAACAACCTATATATCTTCTTAAAGCTTAGTTATTTATATATATATATTTTTTTAAATGTTTAAATGTTTTTATTTACATGAACAAACAAAAGAATACACTCAATCACACTTATTTAACTTTTTATTTACTCAACTTTTGCTTACTTATATTTTAAACACCAAATTAGAAATGTAAAATTTTCTACACGGTTGTAATAAAGCTGTTATCTATCTATCCATCTATGTATTTATTTTTATTATACACTTTATTTTAGTTTATTTTTATAAACTTATTATTTATTTGCTGAAGCTCACAAGTATGTATGATATACGTAATAATAAAAACAATTACAAAATAATAAAATTATATAGTAAAAATAAAATAACATTTATAAATAGAAATTATATTGACGCCGTACACTACATCAGAGTTTAATCAGATTGCGGTAGTAGCATGCAATAACTTTTTTTAGAATGTCTGAATTACAGATCAATTTTCAACTAATTTTTTCCCTGTTGCTACCTTAAAGCGATATTGTTGCCTATAGTTTATTTGACAGGATTTATTATACGAATAACTTAATTTTGGTGGGATATAGAATATTTTAAAATTTCTTTTTTTTACTCGCTGAACAGGAAATGCCAGCATCAACTCAACAAGAGGTACCAGATGATCAACAGGGAAAGGAAACGAGGGCAGAAAGAAAAATGAGAAGAAAGCTTAAAAAAGAAAGAAAGGTACAAATATTTTGTCATATTTCAAGTTCATATAATTTTACTAAGTTTGTGTGTTCACTTCATTTGTACATTTCAAAAAGCTGTGAAAATTATTCAAATATTATGTGCAAAACTGTGGTAACAATACTATTTGTACAATTTGATACCTGCCAAGGTATAATGGGTGAATTAAATGGGTTCTGCTAAAGGTCTTCTCCAGACAATGAAAATACTAGTTATTTGAATGTAACAAAAGGATAGAAAATTTTTAGGTATAAATTTTGTTAATAGGGTGTGATATTTTGAGTGTTTGGGTCAATCACAGTACTTTGAATTTGAAGGAAAACTGTGCATGGACATTTACAAATTGTTACGAATTTATGTATATCATTAATTCGGATATAGCTGCGGATATTTTAAACATTTTTTCGTTTAAATAAAACCACATAAAATGAGCAAATCATACTGAAATATTGTTTTAGACACAACTGCATGAACCAAGTGACCCTACACAAGACTAATGTCATATAGAATGCTATGTGAAAACTGAGGGTTAAGTAGTCAATATTTCATAGAAATTTGTCATGTGATTGAGCCAAGAAAATGATCAACACTATTATGAGAAATGACACAAAAAATCATCAGTGAGAAGTCGTCAGAGCGAGGCTTAGCCTCTCAAGATGCTGACATATATTTTACATTTCACCCAGGGCCCTAGGTAAGTTGTCATTTTGTCTTGTACTGTAATCCCAAAAAAATGGATTTCAATAAAGGGTGCCCTCTAGAGACATAAACGTAATCCTGTTGCCATCTTTTTTTACTTGCATGTGTTTTAATTCACAATGTTTGTATATACATAGTATATATGCTATGCTTATATTCATGCTTTCAGCATCCACATTTCAGCAATGGCCATTACAAATTAACGCTGACAATATCTTCAGTTTGTTATTCCAGTGTGTGTACTGAGGTGCAAAAACATTTCTTATTCTGAATCATTGTGCAAAATAATACACCAAATTTTGATGGGAAATTTTTTTTTTGACGTAAGTTTAATTATTGTTCATGTTACAGCAAGTCTCAGAAGTATTGGGGCAGCCAATTTGCAAACTCGCTAGCGAATTAGCTAACTGCTTGGGTTTTGACTAAACAGT